CAAGCGCAATTCCCTGAAATGTGCTACTCTCCCCCAAACTAGCACGGAACCCCATACAACCCCATTTCAAATTACATCTGTCTAAGGGGTGGCCCCTTTTCCAGGTTTTGCGGGAGGGTGCTCTCAGGCTCAGGTTTTGGGGGGTTCGGCCCAAGCACCGCTGCACGAACACCTGATCCTGCCTTCCGCTCCAAACACCTGACCTGCAACACCCACAGCAACCCGAAGGATCCTAACTATCTATATGGTACAAAGTAGGGTTCCTCCATGGGTTTATTGTGTAGGGTTTAGGGTTACTAGCAGGTAACAATATGGTTTAAGTTAGTACTCCCTATATAGGTACTTAGGGTCCTTTGGTCAAGGGCATCATGCGCTCAACTGTAATTAATCAGGGTATTTGGACCCTTGCGCAAGTATGAATACAAGCATATTCATAAACTTTATACCCCAACTTAACACTCTAAATCGCCACCGCCCTGCGGCAGGCTTGGTATCAAGTCTGAGACTGCCTTCGCTGTAGTGCTCCTCAAAATCGTCTGTGACGTAGTAGGGCACCTTGGTTTTGGATTTAGGGACAAAGGAAATCGGGCTTCAAACTTGAGGGTTCAGGATATAGTCCCCCTCAAGTAGATAGAATATGGTTTTGGGTATATTACAGTAAGATCCCCCACATACCACATATTCTATCTACTTAAGGGGGAGTATAGTTATTTCATTCAGGCTGTAGGGTTCAGTGGACTTCTGGGGCTTTTTTTTGAGCCCAGGGGAATTATGGAGTTCAGGGTTTGGCTCTGTTTGTGTTCAGGGCAATTATGTGATTCAGGGTTTGGGTTTAGCGGAATATTGCAGTTCAGGCTGTAGGGGTCAGAGCCATGACGGGATCCAGGGTGAGTTCAGAGGAATGATGATGGCGTTCCGGGTTGCCTTCAGGGATTTCTGTCCAGCAAACTACACGAACCCCAAAACAGGCGCCCTGCAAGGGATAGTCTTCTCTAAATCCACTGATGTAGGATTCCATGTCTGTTTGCACGAGGGCAGGATTGGGGGCTAAAAGCTTCCAGGCTGCGCCTGGGTAGCTGTTAGAGGCCTACAAACCCGAAACCCTAAACCCCAAACCTTAGACCCTAAACCCAAACCCTTAACCCCACACCCTAAACCTGAGATTGTGGAATTCCATGGGCGTGAGGGTGGTGATGCAAGGAACCCACCTAGAACCTCTCACGATGCACTGCGAAGTATTCAGAGCTTGAATCCGCAGGCTTTGGGGTTTAGGGCTTGGGGTTTGTTACCATTACCTAGGGTTTGGGGGTGATGTTTTTTTTTTTCAAATATAATTTTGAAGCTTTAAGAAATTGAAGTCTTTAGATTAAGTTTGAGAACCCTAAGTACTGGTAACTTTATGTGGGCTTGAGGGTTTACGGTTTGGGGTTTAGGATTCAAGGTTTGGGGGTTTAGGGTTTAGACTGCGCCTTGATATTGGGGGGGTTCCTAAAATCGCAGTACCATTTTTGAAGGTCCCCCGAATAAGGACTGTAGTATTTTTGTTATATATTTGGTTTTTCTATTTTGGGAAACTACCATAGGTATTCCCAGCTCACAGACTCTCTTCGAACTGAGGCTCTTCTCGAATACCTCCATACGAATCGCACTGCTACATCTATCCTGCAATAATTGTTCCCGTGTGGCCTAGCTTGAGAGTTATCCTCCTTCAGGGACCAATGCGAAGGTACCCAAACCCAATTCTGGAAACTACATATTTGCAACCGCCAAACCCCCTGACCCCTCATCTGCCAGATCCCACACATTGAAGTGATCTTAGACTAGAGCTAAGGCCTTAAGGACTTTCGGACGGACCCCTAATAGGGACACTTGTAGCTGATGGGGGTTTAATATGGGGACTACCTGGGGATATAGGGGTTATATAGGGGTTATAATGACTATATAAGGCTTATATGGTAATGGGATTAAGGGTCCCTATTAGGGGTCCCCCCTAAAGTCCCTAGAGACCAGGGGTGGAGGGGGGAGATTCATTGAGGACCTGGGCCAGGGCGCGTTGAGGGTAGCTGTGGACCGCTCATTGCGGTAGGCATTGTTGGCTTGGAAGGAGAAACGGCCACCTTGCCAGAAGCTTTAATTTTGGGGGATTCTAGATATTTAGGGGTGCATTTTTTTTTAAGGGTTGGGGACCGCAAGGTGTGTGGGAATCAGAGTGTAGATGGGGCGGGTATACTCTGAGAACCGCGCAAACACTCTGTGCACCCTTCAAAGTTGCAACCATTGGCTGTTGCGCGACCCTAAACCCTAAACCCTATCTTGGACGGAGAAGTCCCAGGATCTAACTCTTTTCCTGCTGTGGCTTCCGAGGTGAATAAAGGGCATAGTCAAACACCCTGAACCCTAAGCCCTAAACCTTAAACCCTAAACCCTACACCCTCAACCCTAACTAAACCCTATTTGGGATTGAGAATCTAGCTTCCAGGGCTCCTTGAAAGGAGATTCCATGGGGGAACTCAGGGGTTCTGGAGGGTCTGTTGTATGAATGCTTCGAGATCATCTTTAGGGCCCAGGATGGTTGAGGGTTTAGGGTATTAGGAGGTCCGTGGAGATCCACCTAAATCAGGGTTGAGGGGTCATGGCTGCGAATCTTCTCTTCCCTGCGTAGGGATGTAAGCTATAGTCTAAACTCCTAGTATCCCTCTTAGTAATACCTTCAATAGGAACCTTATATAGTCCCCCATATAACACCCATACGGAGTTTAGACCCGAACCCTAGATCCGATATAGTCCCCTATACAACCCCTTTTAGGACTTTTAGGAGTTTTGACTATAGCTCA